ACACACACACACACACACACACACACACACACACACCCTATCTTAGGAAATGAAAGAAAAACATTGCAAGAGTCAACCCTTGATGGTCAGCCTGTTTTTGGACGATCAAAAACAGAAAAATGGATTTTACATTTTTAGGATTATAAAAAGAAAAATATGAGCAGAGACCATATGTGGCCTACAAAAAGTATAAACTATTGACTATCTGGACCTTTACTGAAAAAGTTTGCTGACCTCTAGCCTAAAGGAAGAGCGATTGCTTGAAGATGGCCAAAAAGCAGAACAGCACAGGAACATTTACCACATCATAACATTCTATCCCCAAACAGAATATTGGTTGAAATCAAGCTTTGAAGGAATAGGAATGGGGAGAGTATATTCCATTCAAACCACTGTTTTCTCTCTTCTATAAAGAGGTTTCTAGCCTTCCCACCTTTCCTCAGTTAACTAGTCTATGAAGCTCTCCTATCTTTCTAATCCCCTAACCAAATTAGACCATAGGTAACTCCTACCCAGCACCAATACCCTCCCTAACTGCTCTAGGCTGCAACCGTCAATTTAAGAGTTGATTAGATATTACCATTCGCATAAAATATTTCTGTCCTCAACTGTACTGTATATTTCCTAAGCACAGGCCCCTACCTCCTTCTGTTCTCTATCCATCTATCACAGCACCTATCATTTCCCAGAATCTAGTGACATAAATGATGACATTTATTAAACATTTCACGCCCCACACACACTGTTTCCTCCAGTTTTTGCAATAGCCCTACCAGATAGATAAGAGTAAAACCAAACAGATGAAGAAACTAGGATTTAGAGAAGTTCCATAACTTACCCAGTCCACTAGCTCGTCTGTAAGAGAGCTGGGATTACAATACAGCTCTGATCTGACTATGTGTACATAATTCCCTGAACCAAGAGAAGCAGCTTTGCTTAATTCATTTTAAGCAATACTTTATGAGAGATTTTCTAAATGTATATATCAAAGTCAAGTGAAAAAAGATCAAAAGTAAAAACGTAAAGTATCCTGTCTGTGTAGACAAAGATTGGTAGATGAAGGATTATTTACTGAATTCTACATTTAAAGTAGGAATATGTTCTAGACATTTG